CGTGCTTTGTTTTCGGGGGAGTTGGTTTGTCTTTTAACCCCCCCCCCCCAAAAAAAAAAACCCTCAACAACTGTGGACACCAATGCAGACATGCAGTTCATATGTTCACAGGTGTCTACATTTTCGGTCTACTTTGAAATTGCCATGATTAGGTACGGTTGCTACCATTAAGATGAATATCCTTTCCAAACAATTTTTATATTTATAAATGTACCCTTAATGGTTATCAAGTTGTAATGTCTGCTGCAATGGAAAACTGGAAATGGAATGGTAAGTTCCATTGCATATTTGCTGCAATGAAAAACTGGAAACGGAACAGTATGGTAAGAATTGTAAAGATCCCATTTTGTTCCACAAAAAATCCTGGAAAGGGAAAATCTGCTGTCTTCTCTGGCAGTATGGTATAGATTCAAAACTTTATTATTACTGGTCCCTTTCCATTGGCTTCGTGATTTTACAGTTTCATGGTCTAATATACTGAATGACAATAGTCTGTGGATAAAATATAGTGTATGTTCCTTAGAGAATGTGCTCCATAGTGGGTAAGGTTTATCTCTGGATCATGTGATTGAACCAATGGAAGGTCTGAAGCCACCTTTATTCAAGTATTTTCAAATTAGAAATATTGTAGCAACAACAGTGAGAAAACATGGATCCCTAAAAGAGAAATCTAGTTTTGAATAACTGATAGCAAAATCTGCTACTAAAAAAATAATAGGCGATTTGTATCAACTCTTTCAAATCTTAAAGATTAAACTAGTAATTTCCAAAGAAAATGAGGAAAAGGCTTGGTGTAGTAATATCAATGGAAATGGATTTGAACAAAGACTTTCTCTAAGTCAATACCAGAAGATCTGAGAAGAAAGTTTTATTAAACCTAATTTCAGCGGTATTTAACACTAAATAGAATCATAGAGTTGGAAGGGATCTCCAGAGTCATCTAGTCCAACCCCGTGCACAATGCAGGAAATTCACAAATACCACCCCCCACACCCCCAGTGACCCCTGCTCTATGCCCAGAAGAGGGACAAAAAACCCTCCAGGATTCCTGGCCAGTTTGGCCTGAAGAAAATTGCTTCCTGATTCCTAATTCGAGCTGTATGTGTAATTCATTAAGGAACACTTTTTGGTGCTGTCTTGGCTCAAAAGCACACATTAGACATATATTCTGACAATGTCCTACAGCAGTAATAGTTTGAAAAGATATAATTATTTTATTTCATTGACTCCATTTATAGCCCCCCTTTCTCACTGAAACTCACGGCAGATTACAGAATATAAAATAATCAAAAAGAAGAGAGCTCCAATTAACAGTGCAGTAGGACTAGAATTATGGTACTGAACAATAATGCAAACAAACACACACTAACAAAAATTGTTTAAGGCATGATATACTGTAATAGACAAAGTGGATAACAAAGGTAGAAGACAGTGCAGTAAAAGAAAGGTGATATACACAAAAAATGTGATAGATTATGAACCTATTCCTTATAAAGCAACTTCCTGTGCTGTTCTGTTACACTGCAATTCTAATCCTTTTAAAAAAATGTCCTCCTGAACATTTGTTTTGCATAGTCTGTGGAATGATAGAAGCATTTTTTTTGGGGGGGGGCGCCTTCCTGGCCTTCTTAGGCTGGCCATTTCACAAGGTAGGAATTGAATGGATACAAATTGTCATTGAATTTATGTACTAGAGCCTCGATTTGCATAGCCTCATACTGGAAGGAGTTGAATCCGTATCCTATTTTGTATTGGTTTAGGAGGATCTGGGATGGTGGGGGTAATGTCTAAACTAACATATTATAGAATATGGGAATGAATTCACAATCAAATTAACTGAGAGATGGCCATTTTTAGCTGATCAACTGTTGAATGGTTAATGGTGGAAGATTAGGCAGGTAATGGAGAGAGGTGGGATTACACGCCACACGCCACCGCCAGCCAGGAAATGTAAAGACTGTTTATTGCACACCATTGGCCACTAGAGCACAAATCATATTGTCAAACCAGGTGAGAGAACACTGCTATATCAGTTCACTTCGGAACAGACTGAACTATCATTGTGATGGAGATTCAACAAAAATCATTATAAAAGGACCATTTATAAAGAGAGAAAATGGAAATGCAACAGTTTAGGGGAAACACCAAGTAGATTCTCAAGAATAACTGAGTTAGCAAATTGTGTCAATACTAGAGTAAAAGTCTAATGCAGAGTTACCTGTAGGCTTGAGTACCAATGGTAACATGATCTTTTTCTGCTGCTGTAGGTGGTCTGGGCAAGCAGCAAGCGTGTTGGCTGTGGGACAGAGTTCTGTAAAAACCTGGAAATTCTGAATGAGACCAATATGCACTTGCTGGTCTGCAACTATGAGCCTCCGTGAGTTTCTTTGTGCCAAGGGGGAGGGCTGCGGTATTCCAGTCTTGAAGGACAATTCTTAACACACAGGCTCAGGGTGATTTCTTCCCCACTCCTATGATAAGGCTGTGGCCAAATTCTGTGGCAAAGGTGTCACAGCAGAGCATAGCTGGGAGGCGATCTGGCAGATATGCATATCTGTCCAGCATGCAATGAGTTTGGATGGCAGTACCGTCTGTGAAGCTTGGCTGTGTCTTGTGCTAGCAAAATAAAGGAAAATCCAAGTACAAGCAGATCTTACTTGCTCATTGTCAGGTGACAATAAGAAGGGAGACAATTCCAAGAAGGTTTCATATACATAAATACAATGGTAAAACAGGGTAGACTGGTGGTATTTTTTTCTTTACACACTTCCAGAGTAAAATTTCATTTCAGTTGATACTGAAGATTGCCACCTACTGTATGCTACCAACTAGTTCTGGACATTTTCCTGTGTACATGGTGGAAACTCCAGTCCCTTCTCAGTTAATCCTGTTTAAGAGTAATCCTAAATAGGTCTACTCATAATCCTTCTCAGGTCTGTTCAGTAGCACTTACTCCTAGGAAAGTGCAGAACAATGTTTGAATCCAGTGGCACCTTTAAGACCAATACAGTTTTATTCAAAGTTTAAGCTTTCATGTGCAAATAACACTTTTTCAGACCTGAATTTTTCCCAGGAAAGCATTTTTAGGATTGAAATGAACTGTTAGCTAGAAAAATGGACTACATGAGCTCCCTTATTCTGAAACCAGTTGCTCATCTCCGCATATCTCTTTGTCAATAAATAGGTGTTGATTTGAGCACACCTGTCTCTGCTGTACAAATCTGAGTGCAGAATCCTCAGTGAGTACCCTAATCCTGACCTACAGGTAAAAGGGAACATTATACCAAGAATCTGACTCAATACAAGGCAGCCTCATGTGTTCATGTGCCCTTAACCCTGGTGTCGTAACTCTCTCCCACTCACAATGCAGTCTCCAACAGCTACTATTCAAGAGTTTATTGTGAGTGTATGTGTACTTGATAGGCTTTAACAAGCTGGTTGGTAAAAATGGTTGCATAAGACTGTGGAGAATAGGAATTTATAGTTTTCATAGATCTTCTTTAGGAGTCAACCATGATAGAACTACCATTATTTGTGGTATCTTTAGTTAATGTTGAACTCCTCAGAGGCCATGCTGTGTGGGCCTTCATTCTCTGGAATATGGAGGGTAGGACAAGGCCTTTTCTTCAGTAGTGCCAATAATGTGGGAAGTGTGCCTTGCTCCTTCCTTGTTAGTGCTTAGGTTCTTCTTTTTTTTTTGAGGAGCTTTTGTGATGTTTTGTTTGCTGTGATACAGATTGCTTTTCTCTGCTTTATTCAGCTCTGCGTGTTCTGCTTTTATGTGATTTTAGCTTGTGTTTTGGTTCTTGATTAACTTTGTGTTAGTTGCCTTCAAGATGTTAATGGGTAAGCGGGCAGTACATATTTTAATTCTTAAAAATCTAGTTATAAAGCCACGACACTTCCATTTCTGAAAATGGCATGAATTGTTTCTGCCCCCAGCTTGTATTTTTTGCTTCCTCTGTGCCTTACTTTCCCTCACATTATAATAAGGATGGCTGACCTGCTGTAGTTCTCAAAATGGGGTCTTGAGCATGTCAGAGGAACTGTTCAGCAGTCTGGGACTCTACACTACGAGTGCACAAACCGGTAGATTTCTGGCTCTTGAGAATTTGCTGACATTCAAGGAGTCTAAATTCTTTACATGTCATTCTTTAATTAAATCCAAATTTGTTTATTTCATTGAGTCAATGTTGACTTTTAAAGCCTTCAAACACCCTTTGGTACACCTGTAATGTTCACTGCAATTTTTAGTGTTTAGCATTTTTGCAGGTACTGTAATGTCTCCTTACATCTAAGTTGCATCAACTGTTGTACAGTTGATTATTAAAACCTTTGAGAAGATGCAGATGTGTGCACCGTTCCATTCTTAGGAGGGAGGGTGTGCTAGCAGTGGATTATCTACTGTTGGCACCCACTAAGGAAAAACCAGGTAAGTTGGTAACCATTCTGAATTGTCAGCGCAACAAAGTCAGAAGAACTGCATGTTAGGTGGAAAAGTAACTTTCAAGGAATCAGTACTGACATTTTTAAAAAAGTTAATCTATTAACCAGATATGTTTGGCTGCCACAATTTTGGTCCACAGTTTAAAAAAACCCTGAGTGGACCACCCATGTATAAGCTGAGCTAGTGAATTCTCAAATTCTTCTGCATCCCTACTCTACAGCATTTAATTTTATTTTTATAATTTTCTTTACTCTGTATCTCACTCTTCAAAGTAGTGTACTACAAGCACATATAAATAAATTAAAGGCACAGAAATTAAACAATGAGAATACATGTTCTAACACCTTTTACTAAGTAGAATATGGCTACCTGTACATTACTGCCCATCTTGAAAGGCCAATGCAAAGATGCTTTTATGGTCCTCGAGGCATGCAGGTCAGGCTCAGGTAGACTCCATCTCTAAATGGTATTCCATACGGTCATGGCTATAATAGAGAACCAACAGGATGCATTTGATAGAGTGTTAAACAAGGACCTGGCAGGCCTGAGTTGACACGAAGCATGGCAGTAGTCAAATGCAGTCTAACACTGTATTGCTTGCCTGGTAGGTAACACCAGCTATCATCTTTGACTTAAAGTACAAAATATTGAAATGAAATATCAACAGATATAAAAGACTGACATTCAGTATATAATACTTACAGTGGTGAGGGTGTCATACTGACACTGGGGAGTTGTTGTTGTTCGGTCGCATAGTCGAGTCCGACTCTTCGCGACCCCATGGACCACATCACGCCAAGCCCTCCCCGTCCAAACCCCGACAAGCCATGAAGGTCACTGGGAAACCCTGGGCTCACCACTATCTCTCAAGGCTCTTTTGAGAATAAAGTGGAAGAGGGGGAAACCATATTCATCACCCTGTCCTTGGGTGATGGGATGGGATAAAGTGTGACAGAAAAAACACCTCTAGGGATCCAGAGTAGTTAAAGCAAAGCCTTAAAGCATTTGTATGTGAGGCTGTTAATATGGGAAAGAAATAACTTTATAAATATTGATTTGCATTATGTCAAAGCTGTCCTCTAAGAAAATGTCATTCTTTCTTGAGTCCCATGTGGTTCTTTTAATCTTTAGGGGGAATGTAAAGGGTCGTAAGCCTTATGAGGAGGGATCGCCATGTTCCATGTGCCCTGATGGCTATTCCTGTGAGGATTCTCTCTGTGGTAAGTGAATTTTTTTAAAAAATTATTTATCCTTAGATTTGTATCCCGCCCTACCCCTGAGGCTCAGGGCGGCTAACAAGGGCACAATGTGCCAAAATTAAAACAATAAAAACACATAATATAAAACAGTAAAATTAGAGAAGTCAGCTCTTCTGATGTGAATGCTGGTGAGGCAGACAGTTGTGGGCTTTGTTTACATCTTCCTGGCAAATTACTGCCAAATGACTTTCTGGTTGACACTGGAGACTGACAGATGCAGACTATCCTGTCACCTAAGAGCAGGGGTCGTTTCCTAGAAAAAGAGCTAGGGGAACTCATTAGCATAACTCATTAGCATAACTCATTAGGCGGTGGACCTGCAAGGCCGGTGGGAGTGCGAGGAAGCCCCGGCAAGGCCCTCTCTGGCCCCAGGCAGGCAGGGGTGGGCCTTGGCGGGGAGGAAGCAACTTACCCTCCCTCTTCTCCTGCCTCCTCCGGGCTGAATGAGGACTGGAAGCGGGGCAGCCGGAAGCAGGGGGTGGGGCTTTGTCATGTGCCCCGCCCCCCGCACCTCACCCCCGCGTTCCCCCCCGAATCGACCTCTGCCTAAGAGTTTCATTTTCTTCTCTGGCAACATTCACCAAAGATTATCCTTGTCAAAGCTGTTTTCCTTGGGAGAATTAGTAAATTCATTATTTCATTTCGATGCATGGCTTTGCCAAAGGTGGGGAAATATGCCTGAAGAACAGTTTCTCCTCCAAATACAAAACCCTGTCTCCTATCATCAGTGCTAGTCCTCCAAACAGACACAAGGGTTGCTTCTACAAAGTGATGATTACTTGTTGGCAATGGAGCGTCCGCAGAGGAGGGTTCTGTGTATTTTCCTTGATCATGCCTTCATGGCTGCCATTTCAAGCCCCCTCCCCCACCTGCACCACTAGAGGGCATTCTGCTGGCTTTAAAAAGCCAGCATTAAAAAAATGGCAGCAAAATGGTGCTGTGGATGGGAAATTTCAAAATCATCACCATCCCGTCCATACAACATGCAAACCTGCTTGGATTGTGATCGTTCAGGAAATATCATATTAAACATACATTGGTGCACAGCAGGCAAAACCTTGGAAAGTGAGTTAAATAAAGATGTTATCCTGTGGGTGCTCCGAAAATACTTGCTCCAGTTTGAAAGCCAAGGTGGAGCAAAACATCCATGTGAAAGCCACCAAGAAGTTGCCACATTCATTAGCTTCCGGTCCAAGGGAGAGGGTGGTGTGTTTCAGACACAAGTGATTCTACTATATAGCTGGAGTTTTTGGGCCTGTGCCAGTCTCCATCCTCTTCAACAAGACCAATTGGAGTGTACAACCAAACATACAACAATGGTTTTATTTTGTCTGTGTAGATGGATAGCTATTGTGTGGATGTGCTCTCACCTTCAGGGTAAGTTCCAATGTAGACATTAATCACTCTGTAAAGTACTGGGTCCAGACGCGTGGGAGTAATTTCAGCCCATAGTTTATTAAGAACACAAACTCAAGAGTGGAATAGCAGGACCGGAGCCCTGCTTAAAAAATCCGTGAGGCACACCACACCCAACACACGCCCCGCTCCCCGTGATAGGTCATTTACTCAGTGTCCATACCCATAGGTCGGGCGTAGGATCCAGAGTAACCGATAGGCTTGCTCTAGGATCCTCGTCCGCTATTGTTTCCAATCTTCAAGCTGCGTTTGTTCGCCCGGCCACGTGTTTGCCCAAGCGCATGTGGAGTCATTGTTGGTACACAACACTCCTCCTCCCATGGTTCTGAACTACGTCGCACACATAGTCCTGCAAGTGGGCTGGCCTCCGTCGCCCCCGGTTGGAATAACGTGGCTCTGCCGGCGGGGCTGTTGCTTCCCTAAGGGGCTGCGGAGTGTCTCTTGGAAGCTCGGGTGAGTCTGCGATAGGGACCTCCTGGCTGTCTGGCAGCTGATGACTCAGGACAGCCCCAACCCCATACAGAGAAGCATCACAAGCATTGTCACTGCTCGGGGCAGTTGGGGCGCTAACTCCGGGTTCTGCTTGAGCGCCTGGTATGCCCTCCTCATCCCTGGGGCCTGGGTCTGATGACTCGTCCTCGCTGTCGTCAGGTCCCTGTCTTTCAGTCGGTAGAAGGCGGTGGTGTAGCTGGTTGATGTGATGGTGCAGCAGCTGTCCTTCTTCCGATGTCACTTCATAAGACAGAGGACCAGGGACACAGGTCATCTGCCATAGGGTGTGGATAATGGAACGGGAAGACGTGGAGGGGACCGGGACCACCTCTAGCCACTTGGTGTAGGAGTCCACCAGGATAAAGAAGAGTTGTCCCTGGAATGGACCCACGAAATTCAGGTGGAGCTGAGCCCATGGTTTGTGTGATTACTCCCAGGGCCTGACCTGTGCCCTGGGTGGCTCCGGCCATAATTCCTGGCAGGTCTGGCATCGCTTCACGCAGTCCTCAATCTCGCTGTCCATCCCAGGCCACCATATGTAGCTGCATGCGAGTGCCTTCATCCTGACGATGCTGGGATTTGTCTCGTGTAGAACTGCGAGCACCTGCTGCCGCAGTGGGGTGGGAACGACCACCTGGCTTCCCCACAACAAACAACATTTATGTGTGGACAGTTCATCGGAGCGGGAGGAGAATGCCACGAATTCCGGGCCCACCCGGCTGGTGGGCCACCCCCTCCCCACCCAGTCCAGGGCACAGGAGAGCAGATGGTCCCAAGTAGTGTGGCAGGCCATGTCAGCTACCTGTACTGGACAGTCCAGCAAGTCCTCGAGCAGCAGGATCTGGTAGGCAGGAGCCGGGTCTGGGTCACAGGAGGGCAGAGGGAGATGGCTGAGGGTGTCGGTGTGGCCCATCGCTTTCCCAGGGTAGTGGACTAGTGCATACTGGTAGCCGGTCAGAAAGATGGACCAAAGGAGCACACACGGCAACAGCATTTGCGGGGTTTGGCTGTCCAGGGCGAGGAGGCCCAAGAGGGGCTTATGGTCAGTGACAATGGTGAAGGGATGACTGTAGAGGTAATCATGGAATTTCTTCATGCCTGCCATGATTGCCAGCACCTCTTTGTCAATTTGCACATAGTTGCGCTTGGACGAAGACAGAGTCCGCGATAGGGACCTCCTGGCTGTCTGGCAGCTGATGACCCAGGACAGCCCCAACCCCATACAGGGAAGCATCACAAGCAAGCATGACCGGCAGGGATTTGTCAAAGTGGGCCAAGACATCATTTGAAACAAGCAAGTCCTTTACCACCCAGAAGGCAGCCGCGTGTTTCTGGCTTCACACCCAAGGCGCATTTTTGTCCAGGAGGCAGTGCAGGGACTCGGTGACCACCGCCTTGTGGGGCAGGAAGGAATGGTAAAAGTTGAGTAGGCCCAGGAAGGCCTGGAGTTCCGCTTTGGACGAGGGGGTAGGTGCATTGACAATCGCGCGAATCTTTTCAGCCGTGGGATGGATGCCCTGGGTGTCGACTGCAACCCCCCGGAACTCCACCCGGGGCATCCCGAGGAGACACTTCTCCCGCTTCACCTTGAGTCCAGCAGTGTTGAAATGATGCAGGACCTTGCACAGGCTGTCAGCGAATGCTTTTGATGACGGTGCCATGATCAGAACATCATCAAAGAAGGGCTGAACCCCAGGGATGCCTTTAAGGAGACAGTCCATTAAGTTTTGGATGATGCCGGGGGCCACGCTAACCCCGAACTGCAGCTGGCGCACCCTGAACGCCCCCCTGTGCATCACGATCGTTTGGGGATTGGCTGAGGCCTCATCCACCAGAAGCTGCTGGTACACCTGGGCCAGATCCAACTTCCCAAAGACCTTGGCCCCCACCAGGGATGCTAATACATGGCTGACCATGGGGACGGGATATGCGTGGTCCTGGAGTGCTTTATTGATAGTACATTTATAGTCAGCGCATATTCGGATGTCCCCATTGGGCTTTAGCGGGGTGACTATAGGGGTCTCCCATGGGGTGTGCGGTATGGGTTCCAGGACCCCCTGGGCCACCAGGCGATCTAGTTCCACATCAATCTTGGGTCACAATGCAAAGGGAACCTTTCTGGCTTTCATGCAGATGGGCCGGACTTTAGGGTCCAAATCCAGGGAGACCAGGGGCCCCGTGTAATGGCCCAGCATGCCATCGAACACAGCCAGAAACTCCTCGCAGACCCTGTTAAAGTCCATTGGGTGTACTTGGTGAACGCCCGTCACTTTGAACCCTAGTGCCACGAACCATGACAGTCCTAGCAAGCTGGTGAGCTGTCCCTCAACCACCACCAGATCCAACAGGCCATCGAAATCCCGATAGATATTGCACCCTGAACTTGCCTGACTCCCAAACTGCTCCTGGATTTTTTGGAAGTCCCGGAGAGTAAAGTCTATTGCACCCTGAATTTGCCCGACTCCCGAACTGCTACTGGACTTTTTTGGAAGTCCTGGAGAGTAAAGTCTACTGGGCGCAACTGCCCCCCCCACAGGCAGAGTCCGGGGGTGGAGCCCTTGTTGGTACACAAGACACTCAGAGATTCAACTTTTGGCAACAACTTGCATGTGTGAAACAGCCACTACAGGCTGAGCTTTTTGGTCACTTCATATCACCACAAACCCCAGTAATTTTCAATGAAGGCAATTCCCACATTCAGCTGAGACTCATCAAGTGATGCATTGAGCAATGAAATATCAAGAGATGTATATGCATATTGAATTAACTTATAGATGCTATATTCTGAATGTGATGTTTCTCTGTGCAGCTGTGGAGCGGAATAGGTGGAATGATATGACGGTGATCACTTTCTCCCAGAATTCTAGCTATATCCTAAGTTCATACTGGGGGTGGTAGACAAAGGGATCATTTTCTCCAACCATTAGTTGATCCCTAAGAAATTAGTTGGAAAAATGACGCTCAGTTTCCAGTGATTTGTTTTGATGTCAGCTCTGGCTCCAGGTAGCTCTCTGTTCATGATAATTGTAAGAAACTAAAATGATATCCCAATCCAATTTTTAAAAAACAAAAAAACCCCGACAACTTGTGCCACTTATTTAAGGGCAGCACAAATGCACTTCCTGCGAGCTGTTTTACTCTGTCCCATAGTAGGAGCAACCTTGCCACCTACACACAAACGTTTGTGAAAGAGAAGTATCATATTGATTTCCATTCTCTTGGTCTTCTGGAGCTACAGGGTGGTTTTATGGTTGGTTGTAGAGATTTGAGTTCTAGCCTTTGTTAACCTTTCTGTTTCCTGTCAGTGTCTAGTGTTGACTTGGAAGGAACCACTGCATCCCCTGGGCCTACAGGACTGGAACCAACTGCCATCATGACCACAAGTCCCAAATCCACCTCCATTACAACAGGCCCATCATCCACCACATCAGAAAGTCCCCAACCCCTCACAGAAGCAGAAACTGAATTCCCCACAACCAAAAGGCCAACCTCTTCCCTAGAACCAACTTCAGACTTGGACCTTAACACATCTCCGGAGTTACAGACAAAAGGGACTGATGCCTCTTTGGCAACAGGGTTTACTCCTCACACGAATTTGGACCCCACTCCTGCCTCCCCAGAAACAGGAACTACACAAGTCTTCTACTCAGAACTTCCTTCAACAGATGGTTTAATCACATCCGAAGCCAACATGAAAAATGTCGAGCAGCCTCCAAGTACCACTGAACCCTTGCGCACCACTCTTAAGGCACTACCCACCACTAAACTGCCTCCTGCTCCTAAGAAGCCCCCTCCCTCTAAACTGCCCTCTCCCCAAAAGCCACCATCTCACCCTAAGCCCATCTACCATAAGCCGCCCCCTCCCCCTAAAAAGGCCTCCATTTCTAAGTTACCTGCAAGCTATCGTTTGGCAGCTTATTCCAAAGCAATAAAGAAGCTCAATCATGCTGCTCAGTCCTCTTCAGGAAAGGCAGCTCACCTCTCTGTCTGTCTGCCCTGCCTTGGATGTAAACAAATTAGCCAGCCTGAAGAAATAAAGACTGCTCTTAAAGAGCTGACCTTCAAAAACCCCTACACTTCTTGCTTTTCCCCACTTCCCCGGTGGCGGAGGCATAGCAAATGCGGCTGGTGTGGACGAACCTGGAGCCATGCACTTACAAGGGCCAGCCCCTATTGGCTGAAGAGTTTATAGCACTATATAACCAAATGTATTTATATAGAGAGTTCTTCATCTCTACATGTGTATGCATGTATATGTGTGTCAATGTGCATGCATGTATTTTCCTTTCTGCGCTTCTATGCGCATGCCAGTCTGAGGGCCAAGCCCTGTGGGACTCCCAGTACCAGAAAACTCTGCAAATTGTTGTACAAAGTTCTCTCAGTCAGGCATGCAACAATGCTGAAGGGTTTTGAAATGGCTCTATCCATACCTGTTATTCCGGCAACTGAAAAAGACTGAAGCCTCAAATGATCATTCAAATTCTCAAATGAACATTCAGCCCCTGTGTCCCTCTGAGTTTGGAAAAGGGCCTACTTGTTTGTCATAATGAGGGAAATGGGCCAGCCAGTCCTCAATAATGTTGCTTGCTGGAAATGCTGTTGCAATGTAGAGTTTTGAAGGAATGTCCACTATACTTGATATAGCTGAAGACATACACATACATATACAGAAGCACCATATGCAGAAGTACGCTGGGATTTGGACCTCAGGTTAGTTGGATTCTGAAAACAAATGCTGGTAACACTGTCTCTCGGGATCTTGAATGGAATCAGTAAGTATTTCTTGCAGATACTGGCCAGGATGTTAGCTCTGTTACATCATCCTCCAGCCAGGCAATCCGCAAAACTGTTGGTCTGCTTGGAGGTGTAATAGAGAGGAAAAAGAAAAATATTCATGGGCTATATTATTATATAGCAGGCCAAACAGAACAATAAGAGCATATTGTCAATGGAGCAAGCCCAGACTCATGAAATTACCCATAGTTCAGCTGTTATAGTTCCACTGACTAGTGTCACAGCATTGGAAGTGGAAAAAAAGATATGATTATTTCATACATGAAACCGGGTACTAAAGATCAATGTAAACATTGATGAATCCTGGGGCCACTGCCCTCCTGGCAAAGGGGCTTGCATACAAGCATCTAAAGCTTTGGCCCTTTTTTCCTGCCACTGCCCATGCTCCTCATGAGGACTTGTTTGCATAGACTTGCTTATGAAATGGGCACAGATTAGAGGTTTCCACTAACTCCCGTGTGGGCAGTGGGCAATCGAGCTGTGTCTCTAGCTTTGTGCACGTCTTTTGCATGGTGCGTCCCTACTTGATGCTGTTGAAGCATGCTACTGCAGGGGGTCTGCACAGAATCAGGCAAAGCCTCTGATGCCCAATTTCTCTTCTTTTTCTGAAAACACAAGCAGGTGCCTCAGATACTGAAGATCTACTGATGGACCCAACCAGGAAAGACTCTGAGCAGCCCACAAATCCACACAGCAGCAGTTTCTTGCCTTTCTTCCCTCTCTCATTACTGGCTTCATCCATTCTGTTAAGCCTTCTCTGAAGGCTGCTTCACAGTCATCGTCACTGTTTTTCATACTTCTGTGAGACTGATTGTTTGTTTCTTTGTCCTGCTGTGATTGGGACACCCAAAAGAGAAATGAGGGTGAGAAATCTCCTGTGGGTCTCTCTCATTGCTTACTATGACCATCCATGGCCATTCTTATTCCACCAGGAAATGGTGAATCCATTCTGATAAGGCAATCTACTCCTTAGTCATGACATCCAGTCCCAAAAGTGGCAGTGTAATACATTTTTCTTTTGATGTGCAAATGAAGGAGGTGGAATACAGTTCTATGAGCCTGATTCACTCCATCATTGTTATTAGGTGATATTATCAAATAGGACTTAAATGGGTAAAACGACTGTTGCAGAGAATAGGCCCACTGCATTTCTAACTTTAGCCTGAAACTATTTGACCATACCAGAATCCTACAAATGTTTACTGGGATGTTCCATCAATTTCAGTGAAACATTTTCAAGTAACTCGGTTTAGAGTTGGAACGATATACCATAGTCTTCAGTGTGCGTGCAACTTGTAGCTTATGACATTGTAATATCAGTTGTATTCTCTTCTTGGCAAGCCTTGTTACCTTCTGTCTTTTATTTGTACCCCAGAGCCAGTGTGGTGTAGTGGTCAGAGTGTTGAACTAAGATCTGGGAAACCCAGGTTCAAATCCCCACTCTCCTGTGGAAGCTTGCTGGGTGACCTTGGGCCAGCCACATACTCTCAGCCTGACCTACCTCACAGGGCTGTTGTGAGAATAAAGTGGATGAGATGAGAGTGATGTAAGCTGCTTTGGTCCCCCTTGGGGAGAAAAACAGGGCACAAGTAAAGTAAATAAAAACTGTAAAAAGATTAGCATTCTTCAATAGCTAAAATGACAGGTAGGTCAGTGGTCCTCAAACCACACAATAGCTTTGCATAATGGCATTGTGCCACATCGATGGTGCCTGGTGCTTATGTATTGATGGCAGTCGACTTGGATGCACTAGGGTTACATTCTGGAATGACCCACAGTCACACAGGTCAGGATATAATGATGATGCAGACACTTGTTTGCCAGTATAGTGGCTCCTAACATTTTTTCGTAAATCCTCAACATTACTTCACGATGACAGCTTTCATCTCTCTTGTAACTCAGGAGGTAGTGATCTCTACTCTCTCCAACCTCAGAGCAGTAATTTTTCCTGTATCAATCTGGGGCTGGCCCTTCCTATCCAAAACCCAGTGAGGTCTGAATCCTGGTGTGGAGGTGTAACAGGCAAATTATGATGCCCAGTCTTTCCTATTGTTTTGGAGAGCTGAGCTGTACAGACATCTCATCCCACCTGGCAGAAGAAAGGCTTAGTTCATTCCCCAAATACTTGCAACATTTTTATATGAAATCTTCAGTTCAGGGATATATTTAAAGCCAGAAGCTAATCACACACTGACAGACTGCATCTTGGATGGCTCGGGAAAAGATATGAAGTGACTTTCAAATGCCAAATTGCTGGACACGTAGGCTTCTTGCACATCAAGTCCAGACTTCTTTCCTCTATATGTCATTGATAGATGCATGAATATCCCAGGAAAGGTGTGTTAATTTCATGACAAACCTCAGCTGGCCCAGCTAAGATCCAGTTGAAGGTGCCGCTTAAAAGAACATCAGCAAATGTGATGCACTTTGCTAACAGAGCTGTAGAGAAGGGGTGGGATTTCTAACACCATAATTAATTTGCATGAAATGCATGTTTATTTCTGTGCACCTGGAAAGTCCCTTTCATAATAAAAGTAATTCCAAAAGCTATTGGTCTGAAAAATGTACTCTTTATCAGATGGCTGATGGATCCCCTGGGGGCTTATCGCTACGGAGGTTTTGAAGGGGAGTATGTAAACAGAGATTTGTTCTCAGTTCACTTTGACAACCAATCACAAATATCCTCCAACATTCTACAAATAAATTCAGGGACACCTGGGAGCTGCAGTTTATACATGCCTGAGATTTCATCCCACATTGGTTCCTTCCTGCAATTTGCCCCTGGTGGATGTCATCAGTTTGCACCTTACATATGGTGACCCCGTAGGGTTTAGAAGGCAAGATTCTTCCCGGTAAGAGACATCAGAGGTGGTTTTGCCATTGCCTGCCTCTGCATAGCAACCCTGGATTTCTTTGGTGGTCTCCCATCCAAGTACTAAGCAGGGTTGACGTTGCTTAGCATCCAAGATCTCATGAGAATGAGCTAGCCTGGGCCAAACGAAGGTGGTGGCAGCTACATTACCAGGAGTTTGCCCCTCCCATGACATGATTCTTGCACATTTAAGCAGCAGGTTAGTCCCACAGCTATTGCTTAGTTTCATTCACAAGCTGCTTATCTTTGCATCTCAGACCCCTGCTGCCACCACCATAAATTCTCTTGGGTCCAAAATGAGCTCCTGATTCCCTGGCAAAACCTCTGAAGCTTTTCTTTCTCCTAGCCACTAGGGGCATGATTACAGTTGCCAACCTCAAGGTGGACCCTGGAGATCTCCCACTATTGCAATTGATCTCCAGACAACAGAGATCAGTTCCCCTGGAGGGAATAGCTACTTTGGAGGGTGGACTCTATGGCAATGTACCCTGCTGAGGTCTCTCCTCTCCCCGAACATCACCCTCCCAGTCTCCATCTCCCAAATCTCCAGGTGTTTCCCAGCCCAGAGCTGGCACCCCTAGGCACAAGAGGAGGAGATGAGCACAGCCTATGCCTGCCACTGCCTCCTAGACTGCGCTGCCTGCCCAGGTCTAAGAAGAACTCTTGCAGCACTGCCACCACTGTCGGGGCTCATGATGGTTTGTGGTGCTTGCATGGACAGCAAATTTCTTGAGCTGCCCCCACTGCCAATGGACAATGCCCAAAGATGTGAGAGTCAGTTGGTATAGAGGTTAGGAGCGCGGACTCTAACCTGGGAGAACTGGGTTTGATTCCCCACTCCTCCACATGCAGCTGCTGGTGTGACCTTGGGTCAGTTACAAGATCTTTCAGAGCTGTTCTCTCAGGAGCAGTTATTGAAACAGCTCTCTTAGCCCCACCTACCTCACAGGGTGTCTGTTGTGGGGGAGGGGAGGGGAAGGGAAAGGAGATTGTAAGCCATGCTGACACTCCTTCGGGTAGTGAAGGGCAGGGAGTAAATCCAATTTCTTCTTCCTCTTCCTCCTCCTCCTCCAAGTGATAGTATTACAATGCGATGTTACACCGTGGGCATACCAACATGACAAACTTATACTGATTTTCTTTTTTACCTTTTTATCTGACATGCCTCCCACCCAAAGAAAAATGGGAACTATCATTTGGAGAGGGTCCTGGGAATTCAGCACTGGAAATCCCTAATCCTCTCCCAGACCCACAGAAATACTCTCAGAGCAATTCTCAGGCTTTGTGCCAAACTTGCTTGTACAATGCTGGTGTTCTGAATCTATGTGCAGGAAAGGTAACATGGTTGGGCCAAGGGGTCCAGGGAAATAGTTTAAAGATACCACATTAACTAGATCTATTGGAAATCAAGTTACATACAAATTTACATTATACATTTACATGCACAGGATCTCCAACTACAGGAATTACTCTAGACACTTTCATTTAAGAAAATACTTATTTTTCAATTATTTATTTACTTAGGCACAGGCTCTGTTTCAGTCCGGAAGGAAAGGAAAGGGCAAACTTAGAGAGTGTAAAGGGTTCTCACTCACCGGAACTTGATGGTCTATGTTAAGTCCTGAGAACAACAAGAGAAGTAGTGGAGCTGCTGTCAGCCACTAGTGGCAATCAGGAAGCAGGGCACCAAATTCCTTTGTCAAATGCACTTCAAGTAGACTTAATGTCCCAAGATGCAACAGTTATCTGCACTGATGTTTGAAAGGCTCTTCTACTGCCTCGTTTCCAACAGCTGGGCCGCAACAGAGCAGGGGAGGAGACAGCCTGTCCCACTCAGGCTCCAGCCACATGTTACAGAATACTTGAGTTAAGTGCTTTTTTGGTAGAAAAAG